ACAGGTTTCCAATAGTAGCGCAGATCCAACTACCATTTCAATTATTTATTTTTATGCTCTTCTGTTACCTTAAGTTTTAAAACGGTCATCTTCTGGCAATGAATGAAATAACATTCACCACCATATCAGTGGCCTAATAAACATTTTGCAACCTACACTGATGTTATTCTCTGTCATCTGTTCTTTGACCATGTGTTAAATTAAAATTTTAATTCAATTTATGCATTTAGCAGACGCTTTTATCCAAAGCGACTTACAGTGCATTCAAGCTATACATTTTTTTATCAGTATGTGTTATGTGTAAAGCGTCTGCTAAATGACTACATACATAAATAAATAAAAAAATAAATAAAACGGGCCTCTAATTACAAAAAATAAAGTGGAATAAAGATTGTATTGTGGCCTTGATTAGCTTGTGATAAGATGTTGGTAAAATGTGTGTTGGTGTGGTTATTGATATTATGTGAGACAGTGACATTTTGTTTTTAAAAATATGAATTCAATAGTGATTCACACTCAAAATCCAGGAAAATTATAGTCATGGAGGATGTGATTAATAAAGTAAAGTTTTCCTGAATTTTGAGCATGAATCACTATTGAATCCTTGTTACAAACTAAAAAGATTTATGCACCAAAACAAAACAACATAGGAGACAAGAGAGTGTGATGTTAACGTCCTTGTAGAATCTGCTGTATAAAAATATGACATAATAAAGCTAAAAAAAAATTTTTTTAAATACATTTCTTAACTTTGTTCTGGCATTTGATACATGACATTACCATTCAAAAGTTTGGCATTACTATGATTTTTGTTGTTGTTGTTGTTTAAGAAATGTATACTTTTGTTCTTCAAGGATGCATTAATTTAATAAAAGTGACAGTGAAGACATTTATAATGTAAAAAATAATTTTTTAGCATGAAATTGCTTATTCCATTCCGTAAAATGCAGTGAAGTATTTGTTTTCTCATTTACAGTGTACCAAATGTAGGCTACTTTTAAACTTTTGTCCATACAATTTTGTTTCATTCAAAATTTTACTTATTACAGGAACACTTTCATGCTTGTATGTGTGGTCTTAGATTCCTATTCATTTTGTAAATATAGCCTAAGCCTAACAGTTTAAAAACACAATCACACCAGCATAGATGAAAAACGATTAGTCCACAAATACAAGTTTATTTCAGCTGTTGTACTCAAATGATAACAACTAACAACAGACAGATTTAAAGCATTGCAAGGTACAGCACAACGAACTGAAATCAAAGTAATTTATACAACTAGCTTAAGTGTGCTTAATGTCTGCAATCATTCAGTCAGTGACGACTGCACAAAACGTTCAGACTAATAAAAACATAAAATGTTACAAAATGATAGTTTAGGCACAGGTTTGTGCAACGCTTTAAATACATGTACCTTTTTTAAAACATTCCATTAAACCTGCTGAGATACAAGGAGCATGAACTGAAATTCTCAGTTCCACCTGGTTCCACACGCTTGTCTGGAAAACTCATGAATATTCATGTATTTTTTAACACCATTTTCCCTTTGGACATTTTATTCCCTGTTTTTATCTTATTTTTCTGTTAATAAAAGCCTCTCCGAGGCCTGACGCCACACCCACTGTGTCTGTCGTTTGCTCCTCCCGTATAACTGGGACCAATGATCACGCAGGATGCTAATTCTAATTTATTGAGATGCACCTGTATATATATATATATATATATAAACACACACCAAACTGTGTAAAACTGTCTTAACTACAAAAACAATTCTTCAATTTTGCAACAATTCTACATACAAAACATATTTTAATGATTAATTCACAAAGCTTTGAACATTTATATTTTTTTACAGTAAAACATGGAAAACTAAAAGTAGCTTCAGAGAACTGACAAACTTCAGGATGCTGGGTCCATGCTTTCTTCAGATGCTGGAAAATAATTTACTTATTGATTCGAAGAAAGTAAAATTATCGTTCAATCATTTTGTTTATCCAGCATAGTGAATTACATGGGTTTTATAA